ATAATGTAGCTGTAAAAATAGTTGCCTGCTGAAATTGAAATGTATATACATCTTCATCATGACTAGATAGACACGGTGAGATTGTCTTTACTATAAATGTTACATGTGATCACCTCATAGTAACAATCCTGTCAAATCGTCCATCCTTTGAGTGGGAGTGTAACGTTACAGGTCGGCCGATCTGGTTTCGTGGTTAAAGTTAACATTTTTGACATGTTTCCGTGTTGTTGCTCAGCAAAGGCATGGATGCCATGTTGTCTGGGGGTTTGGCAAAAGGAGAGTGGGTCTGTGGGTGGTGCTCGGGTGGTGACTGAAGGCTGTGACTGAGTAGTTCTGATGTCACCTTTTTTCGGACGTCACAACGGTTCGTGAAAAATCACAGCTACTTTATGCAGCCTGTGTGCATTTTATTGTGGACTAGTGTTAATTTCGTTAACGAAGACTAGGGATGCACCGATATGAAAATGTTGGCCGATACCGATAACCGATTATTCTTTATTTTTGAAAGCCGATAACCGATATGTTGGCCGATAAATCTATATCCAAATTGTTATATACTTTTTGAGAGCCTGATTACAAAAAAGGTCTCATCATTAAAAGCCACATCCCAAACACTTCAACATAAGCAGCCTAGTTTGAACGGTGTACGTTTTAAAAATATTTTTACTCTCCCATTACCAAATTTAGTCATAAAAAAGTCTTACAAATAAATAAAATAATGCATAAATAATGCAAACAAGTCACTGGACATCATTACACGTGTAAAGAATCAAAATGAATGCGCCACAGATCAATAAAACGGAATAGCCTCTGCACGGACAATAATTAAATGATTTTAATTACTAAACCATATTGTTGATGAAAATAATAAGAGAAAAATACAAGTGGTTGTTGTTATTAATAATATATCAATGATTTTGAAAAAGTAACAAATTAATACCACTGTTTTAAACAGCAGCCGTTGAGCTGCGCGTGCTGAAACTGAAGAGCTGAATGAACATGGTAAACTGAAGCGTTTTGCTGGCAGCTTATTTAACTCAAGGAAATGCATCCTGAGATTAATATTAATACAACATAAACATAATATTACAACTTATATATGTACAAAATGACGCAGTTATTGCATGCTATAGTCAGAATGTGTGATCCTGTTGTGGATGCGCTCTTCCCATAACAACGCGCTGAAACACAGCAACTAAACCCAAAGAATGCACAACGTTTTATTATAATAATGTTCTCATTAGAATGTTATATACACAACATTCCCAATCATAGTTATTAATGTTGTGCACTGCTGTTTGAGCTGCGTGCGCTGAGCTAAAGAATTTTCGTCAAAAAAGGAGACAAAATGTTATTGCAGACTGCTCTACACGCCTCTACTCCACGAGCTTTCATGAGTGCGGTTGCTAGATATCAAGAGTTCTAATCCCCGAATCAGAGCTTCGCTGTTAAATTCATTAATTTTCTGCCCGCTGTGTTTTGCTTATTTTAAGCAATCTGGGAACCATGCGCACACGCTCACATGCAGATGATCAGAAAACACGACAAACAAGCCGGAGTTTAGCGATCTAAATGAAAGCACCATTCAGCCGGTCAGTGTTCTGTCATGAGATCTCGAATGTATTTTTTGTGATTGTGATCGCTGAATAAATACACTTACTCAATCGCTGTTGTTTTAATAGAGAAATAGACTATTGCAATTATGGAATTAGTGGAATTACTAGGAATTTCACTGTTATAATATTTTTCGCTTGTTTTAGCTGTTTTCATAATGTAGACAGAGAGATTGCATTGTGTTGATTTACAGTGGGTACGGAAAGTATTCAGACCCCCTTAAATTTTTCACTCTTTGTTATATTGCAGCCATTTGCTAAAATCATTTAAGTTAATTAAGCTGTAAGATTAAATATCTGAAATGCAAAAGTACATTTCTCAAATGACAACACTCGTTGCGATTTATAATTTTGAGAATTTTTTTTTTATCAGTTTAACCATTATAGAGAATGATGAAAATGTGACTAATATTTCATTGACTAAAAAACCTGACAAAAATGCTCATACATTTCATTGAATAAACAAAAACAGGACAAGTTTGTCTAAATATGATAACTAAAATGTACATTTGAGTAAGACTAAGACTAAAT